TTTATAGCTTCTGAGTAGTTTTAAATCCGTCCTAATCAAAAGCATGGTACAAATTACTTTGTCAGAATCTGGCAGTCGGTCAGCTGTTCATGAAGTTACACGAATGATCGTGACGCAGTGCAGTCCAAGAACTTGGTTGTCGACGTTTCGGAAGCATATACCCTCTACATTTTCTAGGCAGAAGACCACGACCTGCACTTACCATGTTGTATGTCGCATATCTTCAAAATACGTTCTTCGTGATTTTTCATAATTTACTGGATTATTTTAACATTAAAGTGTGCCTACATGGCAGCGTATTTTTACTAAGATAATCACACCACAGATATAATGCACAGCACTATTGAATCATTTGTTACTTGTATTTTTGAATGAATTTATAATACACCGACAATTGTTTCACAGCGTCATAGACACTAATGACTAAAAAATTGGGGGTTAAATTGGACCAAAATTAATTTCGTTCAAAACGATCAGTGTAGACAACCGAGATGACACATCAGTGAATGCATGAGGATATAATGTGTATGCCGTATGGAATAGTTTCTCAGCCCGTTCTTGTCAGCCACAGCGACCACACTGCCGACACATGGAGATTCTTTCCCCCCGGGTAACGAGTTTCCGAGAAAAAAATTACGGGCCTAAAAGCAAATTAAGGTCACTCATTACTACGTATTAGCCAACACATGCCCCAGAATTTTAATTTTACCGCTGCACATGCAATTGTAATTGGCCTAGTTATACCTAAGTATATCAACTTCACACACGCGTAAACACCTGCGAGGAGTAAATAGAGAACCAAATGTAAAGTTGTCTCCGTGCTTAATTAAGCGCCTTACAATTAAGGCATGTAGATGTGGAAAAACACCCCCAAGCATTCTTAACATCAGTGTTATTTGTGTTACTGGGTTACTGCACTTTACCCATCAAGTGTTCTAAAAGAACACGTTTTGGAAATGTGGTCTGTTCCCGTTCTCGGCTGAAAAGGTGGGAATTACCTGAGTTCAAACCAGTCTATTTCTGAAACTTTCCGTTTTGCTCAAAATATTACATTCAACGTCACGGCGTATACTGTCGTCTCAAAGTGTGTTCTTCTTGACAGTTATTACTGTGAAAATCTGTTGGATTACTTAGAGGTAAGAAATGTAAACCTACAGATTCAACCGACTCCTCGTTTGTTATCTACTCGTAATATAATAGCCAAATGAATTCTGTAAGGTTCTAGCGATGGTGTGATATAGTCGGGTTTGTTGGGTTTTTGGACTTTGTCCATCGTCCAAGGTTAAAATGTGCACCTGAAGCCGAAAACGGATCCGGTTTTCGAAACGTCGTATACATTTTAACCTTAGACAACCGCCAAAGTCAAAAAAACCCAGTAAACCCGATAATAGCCAATGTCCGTCACACCGTACGAGTGCGTCGTTCGTGCAATGAGGTTGCGACTCTGGTAGCATGAAACGTAAACGAAGCTGTGGTGGGATCTGGTAGAGTCTGCGTCTTGCGGACGTTTGGCAAGGATCTGGCTTAGTAGCCATGAAGATGTTTAGACATTTGATTTACTTTACAGTGTAAATTCGTAAATCATGTACTTTCAATGTAATAAATTGTATTACTGCTGAGCGGGGGAAAACCGCTCAGTTCAGTCCAGTCTACTTTGACGAGCCCGACTATTTGTCCTTTTTATTTAATAAAATGGTAATTGCTCAAGGTGCCCACTCGTTCAACATAATTTGTTTCGAGTTACATCCTGTGTACCATGTATTTTGCTTTCATCGAACAAGGCCGTCTAAAAATAAGACTGGTACCGTAATGATGATCTCCTAAGCTCTGTAACATTTATGACTGAACAAATCTCGGAGTTGCTCGTCGATAAGATAGAATCGTAGAGACGCCAGGGACGTCCGATTAGGACAGTGTTTCTCAGCTGGGGATCCCCCAATCTGAGCAGATTCTACACTTTTACGTTTTGATTTAAGGGTTTATTATCATATTCTTTGTTTCTACAATGAAGTAAAACAAGGCGAAAAAAACTTCACATACTGTCTGTATTTTAGATATTTTTTATTCCATTTAATCAAAATGTATGAGAATTTTGGGAAAGAGGGCGCTGTACCACAAAGGTCGAGCCATATGAAACACTGGATTAGATAATAGAACATTTTCAACCCCTGTAACCTAAACAGGAGGTTCGCATCGCTGTAGAGTGCCTATTAGCATAGCTCCCTCCGTCTATTCATAAACGTTAAACAACTCGAGACTTGCTAAACGGATTTTGTTGAAATTCTATACTGGAGTTTTACTAAACTCTGTTTATATATTCCAATTTTTATTAAAACTAAATGGCAATAACACGCATGTTACATAAAGACATACATACATTTCTGCTCGCCGAAATGATTAGGCGGGGAATCTGGAATTTACATTTGTTACCGTGGTTACTATGGTTACCTCGGGCAAAGGTCAAAGGTCAATTCTACCGAACTCTCCAGAAGTTGTGCGCCGTGCGTACATTTTCTAACTTGTAATGAGTGAGTTTGCCAGTTTGACATTACAGGTGTAATGTATCGTAGCTTCCTACTACTGTCATACATAATAATACAACACTTTCCTTTGTTTCATGCAGCCGCCATGTTGTTTTACATTATACAATAAAACACAGAACCGAAGTAACTAATTTCTCGAACAACCATTACCATACATCATTATGTGGGTCTTCCGACTACACAGTGTGAGAACTTATAAAACTACATATACATGTAAAGAAACGTGGTATAAGGCTTATATTCATGAGGACTGTGGTATTTACCGACTCTGTCAAAGGACTGGCCTGATTTCAATGAAAGTACGTATTAAGTGCGCCTCAGCCATTTGATTTCCCTTGATCTTCACCCTCTTTCTAACACTAAACGTTTATCAACGTTTATTAACTTCTATATGCAATGTACTATGAACAAAATACAGTTCTTAACAATGTCACTCAATGTAGAGAATCTCCTGTCGTTGGGATCACAATCTGAAACACCTTATCTAATTGTGTAGGCGAGCCAGCTAGCCACGGTGGTCTAGCCTTGTAATCCTGGGGTCTCGGGTTCGATTCCCGGCGGTGCCCGAATTTATAACTTGTGTTGGGCAAGGCCGTGGTCTAGGCAACACGGAGTTTTCCTCCGGGGGATTCCCCGGTTTCTCTGTGGCATCCCAACAATTACTCCATTCACACACACAGAAGAAGGCAATGGCAAACCACTTCTGGATCATCTGCCAAGAACGAATATGAACAAGTCCGAGAAAAGGATGGAAGGATCCTGTTCATATGGATCTGTCGTCAGACAGAACACTAAATAAATAAATAATAATGTAAGTGGTGGTAGCGTCTATACCACCTCATAAGTTCGCTCATCCGCCATGTTGGTATTACAGACTGCAGAAAATAAAAAGGGATGACTCTAGAGTAGATGAGCCGGGATATCTCAGTCAGTATAGTGACTAGCTACGGGCTGGACGACCGGGGTTCGATCCCCAACGGGGGCAGAGGATTTTTCCTCTAGCCTCTGCGTCCAGACCGGCTCTGGGGCCCACCCAGCCTCCTCTCCAATGGGTACCGGGGTCCTTTCCCGGGGGTAAAGCCGGCCGGGGTGTGATGCTGACCACTCACCCCCATCTAGTGCCGAGGTCAAGGAAGAGAGGAGCTATACCTCCACTCACCCCAAACGCCTACATGGCGTATAGTGGGACAAACTTTACTTTTACTCTAGAGTAGACCTCAATGGCATAATGCCCATACCAAATTTCATCCAATCAGTACACCGGTACTCGAGTAGAATCACGCTGATACCCTGACAGACAATCGGACATCGTCAGTCCAATATGCGTTCATTCCGTGCACATCATGCAAATAACGCATTACAAGTATCAGATTATGTAAGCAAAAATATGTATTATGATAGCTGAATATAGAGCAACGCGTGTGAAACACGATGAAGGCGAAGTGTTGGAATATTTATCGTACTGCGAACACGCCTAGATTTCTGATCACAAACGTTAATTTCAGGATTTCGCCAAGCAGTCGCTAAGGAACTGTTAAATATATAATAAGAATGACAGAAAAAACAGTAAAGTACCGCGATTAATAATAATTACGTTTGACCTGTTTATTATTATTATACGTTTTACAATATACCTGTTCCTAACAGACAATTCGGTTTCACTTCACTCAGTATGCTCCAAAATCTCATTAGCAAAATTAAAATTCCACTGCCGAATCCCGTATATGTAAACTTTAGGAGGCTGGATATACTAATTTATTGTATAATACCAATACTTACCCATTTCACACGTTTTACAGGGAGATACAAAATTTTAGTCGGAAAATGCAAAGGGAGACCTAGATGTAGATGAGAGGATGTTGAAGTGCATCTTTAGAATCAATAACTGTAGATGCGGGATTGATTACTTAACCTACAGCCCAAAACGAGAACCAGTACCGAGCCCGTGTCGACTTGGTAATAAGCCTACCGATTCCATAACCACGGAACATTTCTTGACCATCTGAGCTACTACAAGCTCCTCAAGAAGTTCTCTAACCCATGAAATTGGTTGCGTATTAAGGCCCGGAAGGCAATCATTGGCGGAGATCTTTCGTAACACCGATAATGGCCCATTTTACAAGTTTGTATTACCCCTGCATTCGTATGAAAATATAAAACACCCGGTTACGCAAATGAAATCGTGAGAATTAATGGGTCTATAAAATATACTAAATGCGTAATGAAAACGGCGAAAAATACAAAATTAATAGCATATAAATACGTCATTGCATAAACGAAAGTAATCGCATCAAAATATAAAATAATAATTATGGCATCGTGTAAATAGAAGCAGTGGTTAGTGTGTGACTATTAAAGACAACCAAATTATATGAATTCAGTTAGCAGTGCTCATTTATTGATTAACATAAGCTTTGGTTCTCAGATCAGGGACATAACTGACGTTCATTAACTCACCTCGTAGAAGATCCAAGAGCTGAAGATTGTCTGAAAGAAGTTGTAGACTATAAGCACGTTACGTAGGTTAAGTGGCTTCCTATTCTCCATGATCTTGGGGCCCAGCACTTTGGAGAAATACGCGTAGGACAGACAGATGGCCAGTGTCGGGAACGGACTGCTCATCATGGACCAGTGGTTCACCCGAGGATCTGTGGAAAAGAACACCACCTTAAAATCTACGAATGCTTAACAACAAACAGATCTACGAGTCATTGTATTGGCAAGCGCCATTTTTTTCGGGTGTGAAATTTGGTCTCTCATCCTAAAGGACTAACATATATTGCGGATAAGATTTCCAGTTATCACAGCGACGAGGATGAAGGCTTAAGCCCTGAAGATTGAGACAGTATGTTGGCATCTACCGACAAGTCTACACGATGCCAAAACCCAGATTATCGTCGTCGTCGTCTTTACAGAATGAGGGTTTTTGAGAACAAAGATAAGCAAAAAACCTTTGGACCTAAGAAAGAGTAAGTAACAGTAGAATGGATAACGAGGAAATTCATAAATTACAACTTTACAAAATATATTACGGTAATAAAATCGAGAATATGAGATTCGAGAGTCATGTACTGCTCGCGACTGTAATCTTGAGACTTGCAAAGAATGCATTAAGTCCGAAGCGTTAAAGCCTGGGCAGACATCAGGTATCAGATAAACTATCATACCTAAGCAAAATATTGACTACTTACTCCATAGTGTCTTCATCAGGCTTAGTAACATTGTACTCACTGGCAGTTTCACTCTTGTCGTTATCACTGTAACTGTAGCTGCCAGGATTCAGATTAATGACAATATGGTCTATCACATCTGGAAGGATGCCGTCTCTTTCCCAATACTGGCTTTCGACTGTTGTGTCTCTACAAAACCCTTCCCAGTCTTCGTTTGTCACAAGTGCCATTGCATCTTTCGCCACTTGTAGTAATTTTTGCAGGCTCAGATCTCCTATGACGTTGTTTTCACGTACGATTCTCTGTATTTTCGCCCATGCAAGTTCTATGGGACTTAAATCGCACATATATGGAGATAGTCCAACAACTGTATGGCCGTATTTTTCCACGATGTGATAAATTTTGTAGATCTTCTCTTTGGGTTTCAGTGGCAGAATTAGGTTATACAGCTCATTTTATCGCATGGTCTCGTTACAGTTCACACCTTTCTTGCGGAGCCAGGAAATCATGTCTACCTTTATTGCGTAGGCATATAGCTGTTTGTCAATCTGGAGACAGTGATACGGTGCGTTGTCAAGGACAATTACTGACTGAAAGGGAAGATTGGGAATCTGTTTTTCGACCGCCCATTTCTCAAAATTTGCACCATTTATCTGACCATGGTAGTCCCCCGTTGCACCTCCAGCCTTATAAATAAGTGCTGCATAAGGAAGAAACCCATTAATTCCTCCTACATGCAGCATGATAAGCTTGTTCCCAGAGTTCACATTGGCCTGGACGCCCTTGACTTTTTCGTTCCGCCAGCATTTACGAAAGGTTAGGTTGTTGTCAACCCATGACACAGCAATATAAAATATTGGATGTCCCTTATACCGGTACTCCTTTATTTTCACAAGATATTTTGATCTCCAGTCAACAACGTCTTTCCTCTCTATCAGAATTTTGCGGTTCGACTGGCATTTTCTTCATTTAAATCCTAGGCTCTTTACAATCCTCTCCAACGACTTACGTCCCCAATGAAAATGCATTTTCTTTCTGATAATGAGTAGCAGCTTTTGTACTGTTGACACTTTTTTCCTTGAATATCTAAATCCTGAATTGTATTTCTGATAACACACTTATCAAAGTCAGCCACAAACAAAAAGTTTTCCTCTCTTCTTTCCTGGTGATTTCAGAAGCTGGTCCTTTCCCTGATTCTCAATATAGATTACCCGAAATTTCCCCGTGTACAGTACTGCCCTCTGTTGCCTTGTTAATCGGCAACAATACTTTTTGACATAATTCTTCATCACATTTCTCAATTACGTTTGCTATTATTTCCGTATCCTCCCGGTGAATGGTAACATTCCGTGGAGGCGACATTATTTTCGTACTCTACCTGAACACAGTTACTACAACAGACCCTCGAATTCACACGCACTAAATAAAGAAATCTGTCAGTGGTCACTGTGATCTGAAATGATGCACTCCAATGAAACCTACAAATACAAACACGATTACTCCATTTCAGTTGACTTGAGCACTACACAAGCATACTAGCGGCCAATATGTTCTGAACTGACGCTATACTACTACTGTTCGCTTTTCTTGAGACTTGTAAGGAATACAGGAAGCATGTAATCTTGAGATTTGTAAGGAATGCAGGAAGCCCCACGCCATGCTGATATAAGGGGACTGGAGGTATAGTTCCACGTATTCTTAATCTCGGCATTAGATGGAGCTGGGTGGTCAGCTTCATAGCCCGGCCACTTTATGTCCGAAGGAAGGGCGTGGGCGTGGTGGAGAAGGGAAAAATATAGCATAAATATCTGAAAGGGAGAGATCACTTTGGAGAAGAAATGGGAGGTGAGGGCGTGGATTCAATTCAACTAGCTCCATATAAAGGCTCTTGTGGACACGACAACGAACATTCGGGTTCTATAAAAGCCGCGAAATTGTCGACCGGTTAAATGACCGTGAGCTTCTCAAGAATCCAACTCCATGGAATTAATTCCCCAACCTTCCTTTCATTTAAATCAATAAGTATGGAAAACATATGCAGAAATGCAAAAATACAAAAAAGTAAATCACCTCATAAAAACGATTCAGAAGGCCAAGTTTGTTCCAGTCCAAGGTCACCCACCTAAAGTGCCTCAACTATGCCATAAGGTTTCCAGTCTCGTCAGGCGGATCCGTGGTGTGTAGAAACAGACTGACTATTACTTTCTAATGGTTTTAGTTCTGCTTAATAGGAGGATTCATAAGGCTTAATTGATGCTCCACTGGTCCATGAAGTCATATTAAGCTTATATGTTTCAGAAATAATTCAAGAATGAAACAGGCCACATGGCTTAAAAGCGGAAGAAGATGGTTCCTAACCTATAATGAATTCTTAGTCACCGTCAAAGCTTCAGATGACACATGGTTACTGACCTGACACCCGCGGATTAAAAAAACGCTAAACTACTGAAGCAACTAATTACTAAAATATCATGTATTGTACTCACAGTCCTAAAGTTTACTTATCCGTTACGACATTCAATTTTTTTTCACAATCACACTATAAACATGAGAAAATTAATTTTAACAGCACACTATAAACGACTTTGCACCGAAAACGAAACCAGAATATTGATAACTTCATAGCAGAAGAACAGCAGCGTAGTGTAAGAATTATGTCGCGTCTGCTAGGATTTGGTCTAGCCTTCACGAATGACAACAGTGACATAAATTGCTGGGGTATATGGCCCTTGTGTGACTGAGGTGTCTGGCTGTGTGATGTCATCAAGAAGGACGCCCTTTTCCAAAGTAACCATGGTAACCAGGTTAAGTGCCGTCTGCAGCCATATTGAGACATGCTCAAAAACGTATATGTGCTTTTACGCTAACTAGTCGCTAAAACCGATCCAAATGGAAATTAACATGGTTCGACAATTTTAATAAAATGTGACAATATCAAATTTTATAAAAATCTGTTCGGTTTATTCATTCTCGTGTTTCATGAGTGCGAACAGGAGATGAACGAGGTGTGAGCCTAAAAACAGACATTCTGGTCATAAATAAATTCAAATATTTTGACTCACTGCTCTTCTCCTCCTCAAACCACAGCTAAAAACCCATAAGAATTGTGTTTGAAAAATTAAACCAAATCCAACGTTATTATATTGCTGTAAGGCAGCGTAAACCAAAGTGTGGTACGCGAAATAATGTCAAGCATTCTATATGCTATTAAATAAACCCTGACAGATGTCAAGAAACTGTAACAACTTCGTTAATACTGAAAATGCACTTTAAGCCCTTCCTACAACTTAATCATAATGTGGTTTGAGCGCAGTCAAAAACTGAGTCTGATATAACTGGGAGGAGATCTAAAACACCGCTGCAGAAAACAAAGGACAACCAGGGTCTGCGAGTCTTATAGGCGGTACAAGTAAGTACAAATGTGAGCAGCCTTTCAGCTTCAGTTTCTTTGTCAGTTTAATAAACACAACTCCTTCATTTACACAGCTCCATAATCATTTAAAGATACGTAGGCTACTTTCGGTATTTCGAAAAGATGCTTTGGAACGAAAAAGGTAAATCCGCAAAGTCGAAAGCTACAACCACTAAGCATCTCACAAGTAATATTCGACAACTCATCAGGATCAGGAGACATGAATGTGACATGCATAAAAATTGAACTACAAAAACAATTTCTAGGTCAAATTCAGAATACTTCACTTCCATCTGACCCATATGAATAGTGCGTACAAGGTCAACACGTACACTTGTAAGTCCCACAACGCTCGTATTTACAATGATCCAATAATTGTTTGCTGATTTTTACTCAGTTGGTCTACTTTATATCACAAAATATGCAATTCTAGCCACTGAAAAATGACCACTGTACCTTTATGAAGAACTACCCGGTACTATTAAATGCGATAAGATGGATCACTTTATGTAGTAACTGTAAGTAATACTTTTGGTTTCGTGACAGAAAACTAAATTTTCCCACCACACAATAGAGGATATTGCATACCAAGCAAAATGAATTTATTCTATTCTGTTAATGCACGCATTTACACGAATTGTTTGAGACTTAAGTGTCTGTAACATGACGTTAATCATACTCAGGCTGTGTGTTCCACAATTCGAGTACAATTTATACTAATTCTAATTTATAAATCATGTCACTGCGTAGAATATTGATCTAATCATAAGGGCTTACAGTGGCCCTTACAAACACTGTTCACTGGACATGTAACAACCGATCATAAATCACCCATTCCACCATCACAATGCAATACGAATAAATGTGGAGAAACACATTCGGCCACAGATTATTCGGCTTCACAAACATAACGAACAGAAATTACCACAAGCAAAAAACGTTCCATATCAAATAGTAATCTCATGCGATTACAGAAGCTTTACTGAGAATAAAACAAAACGTGACCAGATTTCAAACATTCAAGTCAAAAATGTACAACATATATGTGGCAGGGTGTACTATTGTG